AAGCAATCCTCCCGCCTCGGCCTCCCAAAGAGCTAGGATTGTTGCTTTTTATATTCCCTACATCCCTCTCCCCGCCCCCGTATTCCCCTGTAAGAATCACTCAAAAGAAACAGTGACCCCCTCATCTTAAAAATTCTGTTCCAAATGCACTGAACATGACTCCAAGTCACTTTCTCTGTTATCAGCTTATGACAAACTCTCAGAAACTGAATTTACACTAGAATTTCCTTCAGATTTGACAACTGCTAACATCTGGCCTTAACTTCTGATTTAGCATCTAACCTTACATTCAATCTTACCCCTGAAATAAGTGGTTTTACGCAGCCTTTTCCTAACAGTACGAGATCTTCTGAGGCAGCTAACAGTGTTGTCCCAGAAGAACCATCCCAGAAGAGCAACCTGAGAACCAATAGCAAGGCCCGGTCATAACTGCCATGTACCTTTAGTACAAGTGATCTGCATATGCTATTAACATCTCAGTACCAACGCAGTTGTCCCTCAGCAAAGACCTTTGAGAAAGGTGATTTAGAAGAAATGCTTGTTATTCACAACAGTCAAGATATGTAAACAACCTGTGTCCCCTCCAGGAGGAATGAATGAATACAATGTGGTATACATATGAGAAAATATTCTTCTGCCTTAAAAAAAGGAGATCCTGCCATTTGCCACAACATTGGACGGACCTGGGGGACATTATGCTAAGTGACATAAGCCAGACACAGAAAAATTTTGCATGATCTCACTTATATGTGGAATCTTTAACCAAAAACAGGTCAAATATACAGAGATAGAGAATAAAACAGCAGTTGCCAGGAAAGAGGGGGTAGGAAATGGGGAGATATGGGCTAAAGCACACAAAGCAGCAGATATGTGGGATGAACAAGTCTAGAGATCTAGTGTACAACGTGAGGACTACAGTTAATTGTACCCTATTAGGGATTTTTGTTAAGTAGATTTTAGCTGCTTGTGACCAAGAAAACTATGTGAGATGACAGATATGTTAGTTTTGCTGTAGTAACCATTGTACTATCGGCATATATCCTATAACATTATGCTTTTAAACCCCAAATGTATACAATAAAATCTACTTAAAAAAAAAACAACTTTATAAAGCCAGGTGTGGTTGTGCACACCTGTAGTCCCTTCTACTCAGGAGGCTGAGGTGGGAGGATCCCTTGAGCCCAGGAGTTCGAGCCCAGCCTGTGCAACATACAAGACCCCATCTCAAAAAAAAAAAAAAAAAACCAAAACTTTATAGCAACAGACAGCTTTGGAGAATTGTAAACAATAGTCAAGTAAATGTTATAAAAACAAAACAAACAAACAAAAAGAAATGCTTCAACCAAGATTCTTTGGAGCGGAACTTGCTATATTCTTAAAACAAGGAGTGTCCAACTGGTATATATACATAAAAAAAAAAAGATAAAAAGACCTACAAGAGAAAAACAGGCTTCCAAACACAGTGGAAGCAAAGCAGAGGGGATATCTCTGGCCATAGCACCCTTGCCTTTAAAGCACCACTTATAACAAGATGGAAGCCTCGTCACAAGCAGCAGCACCCAGGAACTAGCGAATGGTTGTAATGGGAGGAATACCAGAGTATGTTTCGGGGTAATCATTTGCAAGAGGCTGAGCCAACAGCAGGGAAAAGGCAGCAAACAACTAATAGGGTCAGTCCTTGGCCCGGGAGAGGGAGGTATGAATTAACTTTTGAGTGTGTACCTGCCCCATGGGTTGCGTTAATTCTAACCCTCCCTGATCCCATTTATAGCTATGAGACAGTGATGGCATAGATGACCCTGGCAACCTGTTAACAAGTGATGGAGGGACAGGGTGCTTTGGCTTCCCTCAAGAGGACTCCAAAGACACATGGCGCCCCCTCTACCTGAACCTCTTCTGGTCATAAAGGCCTTGTCACGAGCAATCAAAGTAGATCCCTTGCACAGGCAAAGCAGCAAGCGGAGCCAATCAGCTGAAGAAGCATCTGTCTGAAGACAGGAGGTACAGACTAAAGGGTAGGAGGCCGGCCCCTCTTACTGACCTGATGTAATGGCTCTTTTCCACACACAGAGCATTTACTCTCTCGACGTCATTGGTGTGAGTGGTGGGCTCCAGAGCAGTAGTGCAAAGCTTTCTTCCTTCAGCCTCACTTTATTTTGTGAGGGAGGTGCCACCAATAATCAGATTCCCTTCTGGAGGCCTCTTCCCTCCTCCCCGACAACTGAGAGCTAATAAGGATGAGGTAGTAGGAGGGCACAGCCATAGGAGAAACAATGTTTTGCAGGCTTTTTATGATTCTAATAATCCGGTTGTTAAGGGCTACATGCTATTAATGGACAAGGTAACATTTTCAGCAGGAAGCACTTGGTGTCCAGATCTGGAAAACAGACAAGGACTTACTAGGACTTGCCCCAACTTAAGATGAAACACATCTTTATGACAGAGGCATAAGTTCTGGGAGTTGCTGAGCTTAGCTTTGGTCTAGGTAATCCCCTTTTCTCTGGTTCTGAGGATGCGGGGAGGTGAGGGGGTGTGAAACAGACCAGGGTGGTGCCTTTTGCTCAGAGGCAATCGTACAGCTATCACAGGTACAGCTTCCTGTCAACCGGGCTCGCCGCACCCCCACTCTGCTTTGGTGCTGCCTCCTCCTCGTGCCCCACCGGTCTGCTCTCGCTACTGTTCCCCATGGTCAAGAACTGCTCTACCATCCAGACACTTGGATCTCCCCCACTGTAGGAAAAACAATGTCCTTGGAGGTGCTTATGGCACCTTGCTGAGTCTCACAGAAAACTGAATACTGGCCTTCCCCCAGGCATAGGGATCAAAATTGGGGACTGAGGGCCTTTCTTGGATGATCTCAAAACCTCGTCCTAAGAAACAGATTACCCAAAGGGGCCCATAGTAGAGGTCTTATGTCAAAATATTCTGAACCAACAGGCCCTGACCAACTGACCCAATACTTCAGGAAATAGCAAGTGAAGGCATTGTCACGCCACATCAGCTTCTCCCAGAGCAAAGATTTGAGATGAAAGAGGGCTAGAGGGTCAGAGGCACATGCTTTATAGCTTACTTCAGTCCCTCTTGAATCATTTTTATCAACAGGCTAATTGTAAAGTAGACATCCCAATACCCAACCAAAGCAAAAACAAACTGAACAAAAGCAGACCCAGGCTCCAACAATAAGGGAGCACTCTTCAAGCTCGAGGTGTGTAGTTTCCCAAAGTAAAAGAGTACTCTTATTTGATCATGCGCCAAGAAACTCACTTAAAATTTTGAAATGTATTCTAGTTCATTCTTAAATCCTGTACATTTACCTTCTCAAAATAGTTTCTATTTAGAAGTGCCAAAATTAAATGCTAAACATGTTAATCACTGATGAATGGAAGGACATTATCACATTTGGCAAAACTGGCTCAAAATCAATAAATCATAGAAACTACTCTCCTTCTATAAGAAAATACTTAATTTGGATCCCCAGGAATAAGAACCAGAGATCCAGCAGGCATTATACATCCTAAAATTCAGGTACACTGTGCAGATCTATACTAAATCTAGTTCTCAATAAACCCGACATCTTAAAATCTTACAATCGAGTAAAACTGCTGCCAATGTGTTCTCTTGGCTTAACAATGCACCTAAAATAGTTTGGAAACAGGCCGGGCGTGGTGGCTCACGCCTGTAATGCTAGCACTCTGGGAGGCTGAGACGGGAGGATCGCTCAAGGTCAAGAGTTCGAGACCAGCCTGAGGAAGAGCCAGACCCCCCCCCTGCCCCGCCCCCCCTACTATAAACATAAAGAAATTAGCCAAACAACTAAAAATAGAAAAGAAAATTAGCTGGGCACAGTGGC